CAGTGTGCTACAACGGCATTTTGTTATGGACTATTAATTTGTTTTTAGAAAGCGCGTGCAGTGGGCATTAAGTACTACGGAACCTCAATATAGAGCGGGTTGTAAACGCTGTGACGTAGCTCTTTGGTAGCACCTCCGCTTCACGCGCAGCGGTGGTGCGATTTTTTTCGGAGATTTGGCAGCATCGATGTTATCAACAGCAAGATCACTACAAGATTGGCAACTACAACGTCATCTACGGATGTCAATATCAGCGGTAGGAATAGCCAATGACAGCTATCGCTGTAGAAATCAGGGAATGAGTTGCGGTTATCCCGCCTCCAGCGCTAGCCTCGAACCTTTGATAACCCTTTGACGTGTCGCGAGCTTCGAGCGTCCTCGAGCAGCCAAAAACACGGCGGAACGAAGGAGCGCGTTTTGGAGGCCAGGCGCTCTGAAGAAACGCCAGCGGATGTTTTTATCCTGTCGGTGACTACAGCAGACGACGCTGGCGTTTGGCCTTCGACGCTCCATGGCAAGATACCGACGCCATTGCTCCCCCTGCGCGAGGAGATGAGAATCTTGTTCGCTATGATTGGAGGAAGGCAGTGGGTAGAGGTAAAGTCACTGCCATCCGACAAAACGATGGTCTCAAAGAACTAACAGAACCATGGGTCTTCTGATCTCCCATTCGCTCCCCTAAAAGACTATATGGTTGGAGCTAGGTACCGTGCGCAAAAGCTGGGGATTAACTGCACTCGACCGGGACTAACCGAGAGGCGTGGGCGAGCAAAAGCAGCCCTTAGTCCTCCTCAGACAGGGTGCATCTCCTTGTTTAGTTCCCTAAGGCAAACGGAATGCTCGCCAAAAAGACATAGCTAATATTTTGCCCGTCTTGGGAATCGGCACGATTCAGACCGGCACGCCTGAAAGTGTTGAACAAATTCGGACCAAACTGAAAAGTTTCCTTAATGTGCAACGATTGTTCAGACATTACGTGGTACAATGACCTTCGTGCAGTGTGTGAATGTGAGTTAACAATCGTGTTAACTCGCCTTCACCCTACTGTCTTCAACAATTATCATGTTGACATTGGACAAGTCTCTCTGACTTGATCTGCCCTCGAGGTAACGTGAGTATTTATCCAAACAGAATATCTCTAAATACTTACACATTTATATTTTGTTCAATGTATCTTCAAAGTATGTTGTTCAAATACCTTGAAGAGTCTGTAGAAGACGCGATTTTAGCACCGGAGTCTCGCACTCCAAGTAAATTGCCACCTCAATCGCCAAAACTGAGAGAACAATTCGAAACTCCCGGGAAACATATCTGCGTTTCCCCGGCACCAATCTTTCTGGCAGATAAAGCAATGGCACAACTTTCACAGGATTCATAAATTAAGGAAAGTAGCGCCATTGCCTTCCCTGTCTGCCAACAGGACTCAACCAGATACAAACAAGCAGACGACCAAAACCTCGCAAGGCGATTGGCTAATTGCATTAGAGCTTCACTGTACTAAAAGCGTTCCTCGTCAATGTTAGCGTCTTTTCCACTGTGTGTGCAATCGACGTATCAATCATGCTTAACAGCCCAAATTTCTTACAATGATACTGCTCTTTTTACGTATTCAACACAATTGAAAATTACTTGTCGATGCCTCCGAGTATTGACGCCACATGTGGTGGCGGGACGAGGATGTACGCTTCTTTCGCCGGAGTGTAAATAGAAACATCTCGGTATACAAGAAACACCACTGTAAATCTACCCGTCACAAGCAAATGTGGATCGGCTCACCAAGAATGGGGAGTCAAGGAGAACCTGCTTAATACATGAACCAAAATGACTTAGAGATACTTTCCCAGAGTCAAATGATTTTTGGTGGAGGCTGATTGATTACCTGGAATACAGCAGGACAATAACAGGCCAACGTTTTCCACAAACTGCGTGAAGCCATCGTGAAAAAACAAAGAGGATTGATGACAAGAGGCTCCTCCTCCTGCACGACGTCGCCCCCGTTCACAAGTTTCATGTTGCCCAGACTGCCATTCGAGAGTGTGCTTTCGAAGATCTTGATCACTCACTCACAGCCTATAGTCCCAATCTGTTCCCAGTGACTTGTTTATTTTTTTTTTAATCCAGAATCTGAAAAAAACACCTTAAGATAACAAAATTCAATGACTTGAACGCACTGAAAACTGCCGCAGAGCCATAGCAACAATTTTGAGATGTTTTAGAAGTTTTTTTAAACAAATGGGAGTAGTGCATTATACAATGATAAATTATGTCTAAAAATAATTTATTTTTCAAATTCCTGAAAGTGTTTCTTTTTTTTTTAATATACGAGTTGCAAACTTGCTGATCCTCCTTCGTACCAACGGTACACTTGAGTGTCTGACACTACTGTTATTTTCATCGATGAAAGCAGAATTATTCCTACTAAAGACGTCAGAGTAAAATTTTGCCAATCGTGGAAAGCCGACCGCAGTAACTCGTTTAACCGCGCATATCCCTAATACTCCGTCTACCGCCACGCTGACAGGGCCGTGGACGCCACATGCTCTTTGGACCATTTGGATGTCTACCCTTCGCCACGCGGCCACGCTCCCACCCCTAACCCCCGAAAGCGGGGGGCGGCGGAGAGAAGCTCACCGGAGATAAGCTCACAGGAGAAAAGCCCACCGCAAAACCGGCAGATGCGGAGAAAAGCTCACCGGCCTTCGAGCGGATGCGGAGAAAAGCTCACTGATCTTTTAAACTTAGCGGATTCTGCGTCAAACGTGGCAGTTTAACACAATTCGGATTCGTCACTTTATTAAAAATATGTCCTCTTTTTTGTAATATTCTTGGAGTTCATAGGGCATATTAGGGGCGAAGCTCCTTAGGGTCTAGCCTTGTCCGTCCGGCGTCCGTGCTCACATCGATTGCCATCCCATCTGTCTTCTTAAAAAAAAAATGTTTGTGCAGTCGACAGGATTCGAACCTGTGCGGGGAGACCCCAATGAATTTCTAGTCCATCGCCTTAACCACTTGGCCACGACTGCGGGACGAGTAGGGGGCTCTGAGATGTGGTAGTAACTCAAGAGCTGGGGATGCTGGCCTGCATAGACCTAGTCTTTGCGAACTTCAGGATGGATCTGCTAGAAGAACCACTGGCTCTGCATTTGCCCGTCTATAAAGCTGTAATAATGAAGTTGAAACGCAACCCCGGAACTCAGCACTACGTATGAGCAACAAAAAAAATCAGCACAATCAGCACTACCTATGAACAAAATCAGTATCATCAGCACCACCAGAGCTTCGCCCCAATCAACATCATTCACCACGTGGAGATGCGGTCATTTTTACTAATTTCTCAGAAACTTGTAATTACCCATTTTGTGTATTAATAAAGCCGCAGCTATAAAACCAGAACATGGTACGCCGCTAAATTGACTACACACTATTGACAGCTGACAGTGGGCCGTCGGTGGCTCTGTCAGATAAAGAGGTTTGTTTTTTCGCGAGCTAATATGGATAGCGGTGTGTGAACCGTTTCAGCTCGAAATATTGTGTAGTGCCCAATAAATAAGTAGGTATTTGTTGATGTAATCAGCATCGGCTACGCTGTTTTCTTCGTTAATTTCACTAACAAATTTTTAGTTGCGACAACAGCTTCGTCCTGTCGTGTTTCCTGCATTCACTCCGTCGTCCTCGTTTGAGTGATTTTCATCATTTACAGGGTGTCACAAAAGAAAATTTACGGGGATTTTTTTTACCGCAAAAATAAACTAAGCATCGCCGAGTGCTCATTCTCCGCCCGAAGGTAGCGCTAGAGGTCACAACCAGATGCCAAAGATTCAGCCTGATTCGATACCTTATTCAAAAGTTAAAAGTGATTTTCTGAAAGGTTCAGCGGGAAAATAGAGCCCAATTTTGGCCGTTTTCGGTTTCTGGCGCCATAGGGCCCCATGTATTCGAAAACTCCGTCGACCGCCATTTTCTTATTCAACTTTTCAGAAAATCACTTATAACTTTCGAATAAGGTATCAGATCGGTCTGAAACTTTAGTATCTAGTCCTGACCTCTAGCGCTACCTTTGGGCGGAGAATGAGCGCTTGGCGATGCCTAGTTCAGTTTTGCGGTAAAAGGATCCCTGTAAATTTTCTTTTGCGACACCCTGTATAACGTGTATCAACTCACCCCAATCGCTACCTTAGAGAAGACTACTTTATATAAAGGCCACAAGTAACAACGGTGCAAGTGTGCAGCTCTGAAGGTCATGGATGGCTCCCCGTAGAAGGGCACTATCACACAAAGGACACTTGTGGAAACACCAGCACAAACGGCTAGAAAACGTGCATGTCCGTGGAAGAGAGAAGCCTCGATATCCTACAAACTGTTTTATCCTGTTTTCAAAGGTTAACAAAAGCTTCAAAGATAACCAACCGGCTCAGCTACAGGCCATCACTTCAAAGAAATTTCAGGCACCGCTTTGTTGCGCGTTCACTTTCGGATTTTCGGCATTTACAGTTATGCCTTTTAAATTTTTAGGCAAACCTTACTAGTTTTCGAACTCTTTCCTGTTCTTCAAGTTCATAAAGTTAGTCAGTTAGGCTTTCGTTGCCTAGCCACAGAAAACACTCGCCTGCAGTTATTAATTTAGGAGCAATATATAAAAAAACGACAATTTCTTTTTTACAAAGCTGATGAATTTCAATGATAATAAATTGGATATATGTTACGCATGTTCCAGCAGCCTCTATATAAAAAGAAGAAAAACAATCTGTGAGCTTTTCTCCGCATGCGTTCAATGGCCGGTGAGCTTTTCTCCGCATCCGTTGGTTTCGCGGTGAGCTTTGGTTTGGTGAGCTTATCTCTGGTGAGCTTTTCTCCGCGATTCGAGAGCGGGATCAGCTGATGAAACGGGTGCAGTGTATTTTCACGGCAGGCCCGTAGCTGCCAGTCGCTGTCAGCTTAGGCGTGAACGGAGTGCTTTATGCATCATGTAACGCTCGTATGGGCGACTCATCATTTCGCAGGTGCTATGCGGCTTGGTGGTGAAGATAATCTGCGTGGCCATCATCATTCTGACGGTCAGCACGTTGGGCAACTATATTTTCCACTGGACCCTGCTGCCCCCGTGGATAGGTCGTGACATGGTCACCAACGCCACCGTCAGCCACTGACCGCTTTGGCCACGTCGCGACGTCACAAATGACGTGCTATGGATCCTCCATGGTGCATGGTTGGAATCTAATTGGCCCTTCAGCTCAAAAGATGCACACAGTGTCCAGCCATTGCTTGGATGAGGCATCATCGACTGCTTTTTTAGAGTGCCGTGTTGTTTTTGTCGGGATTCATGCGCCGTAGAGCTGAGAAGGAGAACACGCCTTTCAGCTATCAGAAGATGGACTGATTGGCTCCAGCCTTGTTTTTCTAGTGATTGGCATAGCTCCCTCATATATGGAACCAAGAGCTTAAGCATTCTTGAGCCTGTTTGTCACAGGCGTTTTGTATAATATTTTGTTGATAGGTTCGAACGCTAGTGCGATTTAAATACGTGTTTAGTGGCATAACTTTGCAAAGTGCTTCATTATCGACACTGTGAAATTTTTCTTGTTCTTTCTTGAATCAGATTGGACCATACAGCTACGACTGGAACAAATTAAATAGCGAACTCCCTATTTAAATTTATCATGTCCTGATATCTCCGTTTGCATTGAACAAGGAATAGCCCATAAACCACATTCCGCAAGTGTTGCAAGTTGAGTGTTTTATTTTCTTATATATTTTCACCACAAAATATTTTAAACTATAACTTGTGTTTGTGTGCGTGCGTGCGTTTCTTTATACGTTTTGAGCAAACACGGTGAAATAAACCCATGGCCTTTACAAAGCGCAAAACATTTGCACAGTGAAAATGTTTCTTTTTTTAACTGTAAATACAACACTGGAGTTCAGAATGGAAAGAATGAAACATCAAAAAACGTCGCTACATAATCGAATAGATTGCTAATCAGATGTTGCTTTTGTGACTAATTATATGACGTGAGGTCAGTATTCAATTTATCCCCGATGCTTGTGGGGAGGAGAACCATATCAAGCAATAATCGTCCGTGTTTTTTTTTTCTCCTTTCCCCTCTCCACTGGATTGACGTGAGGTCAGTAGTTAGTCAGTAGTTCTAAAAATGCAGCCACCCGTAAATTCCAGATTCACCTTTTCACTTTCGAAATGCATAAAACAGCGAAAAGTACTTGCTGAGTTCTGTTCTAATACATATCGCTCGAAATGCCCAAAGAAGTGGAAAAAAAAAAAAAAAAAAGAGAATTATTATTCAAGATTCATTAGAAAGCCACTTGGGGCAGGCTAATTTCCAGCTTCCTAACATCCCATACCAATGACATCACGGCGGTGGCACTGTCCCAACGTTTCACGCGCAAGTTGCTGAGCATTTTTAACGCGCCTGTTTGAGATCATGTTTGAGTGTAAGATACTAGGAAGAGCAAACTCCGCGCTTTGAACGGGTCTACCGAGCACGCACGCGGTTGTTGGGTTCCGTTTCGCTTACAAACGATGAAAGATATATTCTTTTGCATATGCGGAGTGCCACAGATTTCACGTGCTATTAAGCTTGTTTAGGAAACATAAATGGATGTGTAAAAAGAGTTCAGACATTAGGCCTCGGTTATTGTAAAAAAATGTTTTATTGAAGTCAAAGGCTATATCTTGTTAGCGATCTTTAGGTGTGCATTTATACTTGACCACAACTGCTTATTGATCTCGATACCACATGAAAATAAGCTCTGCATTATTCAAGCTTTTACGCTGCATTACACATGTCTTATTTTATTCTGCCTTGTCAATAGCTTTCGCGTATAGCAATCATTTCTTCTCTCATAAAAAAAAACTTATTTTATAAGATTTGTATTTCAAGACACTGAAAAAGTAACGAACAATCGTTTTTGCTCCGACATCAAAGAGTTCTGTTGGCAACCTTGAAGGCGACGTGGTAGCGCTTGTCCATGGGATAGAGATAAAACCAGAACAGGCCCATGGAGGCGAAGACGGCGCCAAACCACAAGACCATGATGAAGAGCAAGGCGACTCCCGGAACCAGGGTCCCTGGGGCAGGTCGATTTGGGGGCAGGAATGCGGCCTTGCGAGGACTCGAGACGACCTGTCGTACAAACCAATGATGTGCAGTGCTAATCACACTTGTCTGTAAATGGCTCTTTATATTCCGTCGTCACGTCGACGAGCGCCCGATTACGTTGGCCTACGCTATTCACGTCGTGGACTAGCGCAGATCGACGGCGGTGGCTATCCCAGAAGCCCTCGCTTGAACGCCTTATTCGCGAATCCGGATGTCGGGGCCACGCCGGGGTCAGTCGATTTGCGCAAGATGCTCATTCCTGTGATTTGAGCCTGCCGTTCTTACCGTGTGTCCTGTGCTATTCTGGTGTTCTCGTGTAAGTGTGTATATTTAACGTTCCCGCACTTGACTGTGTGAGTGTGTGCTAGGACGTGGACTGCACCGAGGATGCGCCACCCCTAAGTCTCGTTAGGCATATCGGCCTAACGAGTCGGGTATGGTGGCGTGCCGGCTAACGCTGGAAGCTCAATGAGATGCCAAACTTGGAGTTAATTATAACTAAGGATGATCTATTTTGCGTGCTATATATGATCATGTGCTAGTTGTGCGCACCGCCAGCTGTTTCTGATCGAAAGAACAAGCGCCGTCGAAAGTATGGGAATGGCGAAGCCAGTGAAAGAGTCTGAACTATTCAGCCGGCCAGAAACTTTCATTTGCGGTGTCTCGCTTGTAAACGATAGTAGCGGTACTCGATGAAAATGAGACTGAATCCTGTATTTTTTGTGTGGGCACTGTGAAGTGCGCTACAATTTAGAGCGCGTACATTGCCTAATTTAGTCATCGGCCGCTCTCTTCAGTGCCTGTTTTTTTAGTCAACGTGAAAGACTACTACGATGATAACATACTGGCTACCTGCCAGAAAGAAGTCACTGTGGAATATCTAGCGCATAGATTTCGTCGAAGCATTACGGCATTTTCACCGGAATCGATTGCCATGACCTTGGCGTACCTGCCGAGCGGCCTAGCTTCGACGGACGCGATATTATAATTTTTTGGTTTCCCGTCGACATTTGTGTGATATTTCAGAGAAAATAAATGCTTTTTTTTCCACACGTTTTTCCAATAGTTCGCTCGTTTTCGTACTGCTAACCACGTCCCCGAATCGCTGTTTTGAAGCTTGACTACACGACATGGACGAACCGCACCGACCGATTGCATGATTAGTACCGACTGGGAAGCGTAACTACTGTGTAGATACAATGCGGCTGCACAAAAACGCGCATACTCCAACTGGGGCAGTTCGTCGGGGCGCACTGGACCAGAGCGTACCCTGGACTATGCTGGGCTGTAAGCACGGTCGTTCTGGCGCTTCTTGGCGCAGTGACCGACGAGCGTCGGTCTACGCCGGCGTGCGTTGCGTTTCTCGACGTTGGTGTATAAAGAGCCCTAAACGCAGGAGCGCGCGGCTTCTTCCGGCGACCGCTAGACTGGTGGCATTCGCGGCAACTAATCTGGTCACGTGGGCAACGTGGAATGGTCCGCTCGAGGGTCACCTCTCTCTATCGGACGAATACGGGAGGCTGCTCGCAATGTTCACGCCTCTTTTGGTTCGCATATTGGCTGCGTGCTATCGTGCACGTATCAGCAACTCGCTTTTCCCCGCATGGTGTTGATAAGCTCTCGTGCTTTCGTTTTGTTTTCTATTGCTACGGCGGCGTTGTCGAAGAGCGCGCGAGGAGCCTTCCACACATTCAATGGCGGCCAGCATCAAGTGGGCAGGACAACCATCGACCGGACCGTTCCATGCTACGTGACTAGATTAGTTGCCGCGAGTGCCACCACTCTATCGCTCGCGGGAGAAAGCCGCGCGCACCCGCCTTACAGACAAGCAGGATTAGCCCTGTACCTACAGCATCTCCCAGATTGTAGTCGGCAGATTAAGGATATATAAAAGTTGAAATATTCTGGCGTTATTCAAATATTCGTTGTTCTAGATCGTTCATCATGACGATACGTTTGCACAAAACATCGCTAATGAGAAGTCGCTGACGAGGATGCGAATGAGAGGAATTTGTAAGTCACTATTACATAAGTGGCAGTGAAGGGTGACCATTTTTTAATAAGAATTGTTGCTTGCTCACACTTTAGTTTTCAAATGATCGGGTGGATGTGGCGTGCATTTTCTTTTTCGAGAGGGTTTGTACTAAGTGACTTAACATCCTTCGTCACGGGACACATATTGGTCATAAAACGAGGTGAGTTAAACGTTAAGGTCTAGCTTGATGACACGCGGCCCTGGATTACGTAGGAAGCACGAGACTCGAAGGCAGCGCAGAACAACTTGTTTAAAGATAGCCAGGTAGTCTGAACTACTTGGGGCGGAATTCTTGTTGTATCTTATACGCGGAATTGTAGGCTGTCCCACGTCGGAAGTGCAAAACCCTAGCTGCCTTTGAGAAACACTTTCTTACATCTGGTAATCTGAAAACATTGGTATATTGTAACCATAGTAACATTACTGCCACGGCGTACCGAGATTACGTACCGTAAAAAATGATGCTGAGCAAACCTTCAACTTAAGTATCGCGGCCGAAAAAATGAAGTGCTTTATAGAAGGGGGGGTTGGTTGCTTAATAGAGAGTTTTAGCGCACCATTATCGCTGGCTTCAGCGTGAGCACTGCTCCCGGGAGCTCGCACTGTGACAAAGCACGCTTTTCAACTTGCTCCAGAAGCGTTGTCATCTCACAGTAGCCTGTGGCGACGCTATGCTGAAACACTCTAATAGAGATCCTAATAAATGTATACGCAATGCAGTGAGTTGCTGGCGGGTGCTCCTGCCGGCACTTCAAAGCACGGTTGTGCTGGCGACCGCGGGGTTCCTTACCCGTATCGGTATACGCTATAATAAACCTAACTACTATGTTTTCTTTGCGGTACGTTTCCCAGTCGGTTCAGAAACGCGGGTAAATGGAAGGTTTTTTTTTATGGATTGATTCTGCCGTCCCGCTACGAAGATGCCGCCGCCAGTGCGCATGCGCAGTCGTGTCGAGTTGCGGAGAGCGTTCCAGGAGGGCGGACGCGATCCGTAAAT